GAAGGAAGGAAGGAAGGAAGGAAGGAAGGAAGGAAGGAAGGAAGGAAGGAAGGAAAAAGGGAAGGAAGGAAAGCATGAAGGAAGCAAGTAAGCAATCTATCTCATTGTCCTTCTCAAAACCATCTGCTGCTCCTGCCAGAAAACCCAATGGAAGTACTCACAGAAACCCCAGAGAAGTATACATTAAAAGCCTATGGCCTGGCGTTGAGATGACTCAGTTGATAAAGTATTTGCTATGCTAGCATAAGCATCTGAGTTCAGATCCCCAACACCCATGTTAAAACAACAATATCTGCCTATAATCCTGGCACTGAAGAGTTGGAATCAGGAGGATTCCTAGACTTCCTGGCATCTACTCTGGTTGAATTGGTGAACTCCGGGGTGCAGTGAGAGACTATGTCTCAAAAAACTAAAGTAGAGAGCAATTGAAGACCATGCCAACCTCTGGCCTTCATATCCAAGTACACACACACATACACACCACCAACACCCCCACACACACACACATCTAAGGTCTTAGGAGAAAATGAATAAAATGGAGAGACTATCTGAGTGCCATTGACATCTTATGGTGTGCTTGTTCATCCTCTATACCTATGAAGAAGTACCCAGAAAGCTAAAGTCACTTACCTAAGTAGTAAATAGCAGGGCTGAGGCATGAGGCTGAGCTGGAACTTCTACCCAACAGTGTTAAAGACATTTGGCTTCTCTTCATACTAGTTCTTTGGACTTGGAATGGTTCTTGTCTTAGGATATTGCTGTAATAAAATGCCATGACCAAAAGCAACCTGGGGAGGAATGGGTCATTTCAGCCTAGAGCCTGTAGTCTATTATTTAGGGAATTCAAGGCAGGAACTCAAGGAAAGAACTGGCTTGCTCTTTATAGCTAGCTCAGTCTGCTTTCTTATAGCAGGGCCATCTTCCCAGAGATAATGGGGACCATCACCCCCACTGAGTGGGCTTTCCCACACCAATCATCAGTCAAAGAACGTGCACCACAGGTTGCCCTAGGCCAGTCTGTTGGGGACACTTTCTTAATTGAGGTCTCCTCTTCCCAATGACTAGCTTGTGTCAAGCTGACATAAAACAAGCAGCGCTGGTCGCTTTTGGAAACTACATGCTTTTAACTAACTATAGCAGAGAAAAATGATAGGTTAGTTAAAAGCACAAATCTTGCAAAAGGAGAAAAATCTTTAAAACAGTAGGTTTTTTTTTTTTTTTAATTACAGGGAACAGCTGTAACAAGTTATGTGGAAAAGGTGATTTTCTTCTATTTTAAAACATAAAATTTAGTCTTTACATGTTGGTGATTCATGTTCAAGTAGTCATTGTAAATTTCTATAAAGTAATGCACCCTTACAAAGGAAATATATATGCAAGTTGACAGTCTTTTGCCACCTAATATAAAATTTTTGTCAGGTATCCCTAAAACAGCATTTTGCTATTCAATTTCTGGCTTCTAATATGGGATAACATAGAAGCTCTTTAAAATCAGGGTTTAAAAAAAAAAAAAAAAAAGCAGGGTTAAGTTTTCATGCCTAAGACTGATGAGGTGGTTTCTTTGCTGGTTGACCACAATTTTTATCTTGGTTAGCATTACTTGGTTCCTAAATAAACCTTAATTTTCCATCTTATTCCTTCTCATAAACCCAGAGAAAATTATCTCCCAGGAGAATCAGGCTCAGAACTCCATAAAATCCACTCTATTGTCTAAGAGACAAAAGATACTACTGGCTTCCTGCTTGAAATGAATTTATTTCATTACAAACAATTGTCAATTTTATTTTGCAAATTAGCCCCTGGATGAATGGAATCATTCATCTTTAATGGGATCATTATTATCTGGCATTAGTTCCTTTTATATTCTAAAATAAATACTGATGCCAAGAGAGACAGCCCCCTCCCCCCCACACACACACAGCTTACATCATCTCTGAGAAGCAGAAACAGCCTCCTGAAAAGCTGTATCATTTTTTTTCTACCTAGATGTTGTTTTTTTCATAACACCTGTAGTTTTTCGCTGGAAAGACTCTGTTAAATTAAATTAAAATTAAAAATTCTATGTCTAAACTAACAGGGATGTTTTAATTCACACCAATGCTCACAACCTGAATTTCTTTCAACTTTGGTTGGTTGTGTTGGTTGGTTAGTTAGTTTCTGAACTAGGATGTTGCATTATAATTCAGACTATCCTGTAAGGTATTGTGTAGCCCAGACTGGCCTAAAATTATGGCAATCCTCCTGCCTCACCCTCCTTAGTGTTGTAACTACAGGTGTCAGCCGCTCCACCCCAGCCTTTTTACTCCTAAAAGTCTACCACCAAATGTCACAGAAAAAAATATAATAGTGGCCACAGAGAGAAACTTACATGTGACCTCTTTTTATTAAATTTTTATTTTTTGTATTAATTTTAGTTTATTCACTTTGTAGCCCAGCTGTAGCCCCCTTCCTCATTCCCTCCCCATCCCACTCTCTCTCCCTCATCTCCTCCCATTCCCCTCTCCAAGTCCACTGATAGCGAAGGTCCTCCTTCCCTTCCATCTGACTCTAGCTTATCAGATCTCATCAGGACTGGCTGCATTGTCCTCCTCTGTGGCCTGGCAAGGCTGCTCCCCCACTGAGGGGTGGTCCAAGATCCCGCCACAGAGTTCATGTCAGAAACAGCCCCTGTTCCCATTACTAGGGAACACACTTAGATACTGAGCTGCCATGGGCTACATCTGAGCAGAGGTTCTAGGTTATATCCATGAATGGCCCTTGGTTGGAGTATCAGTCTCAGAAAAGACCCCTCCAGGGAAACAACTGGCTAGTCGGCCTGGAGCAGAGGCAATGGAGAAGAGTTAAAATGACGGACACTTGTTTCCCTACATTTAGTTGTAGTAGTGCCCTTTACTGAGGCAGGCCTGGGACCGAGTGCATTTGCAATCTTTGTGTTGTTTGATGCTACCCCTGCTTTTTGAGGTGACCATTGTGTTCTTGCCATTTAGTAGATAAGTGGAGTTTGAATGTTTTGACAAGATCACATGGAATACAAGTAGAAGATCCACACAGTCTTCTCAGTGTGGCTGCAGAGGGCATGAAGCATGCGGCAGTTGTGGCCATAAACATGGGTATTTGCTGTTCTTCCATGGTCACTAAGAGCACTTGCAGGGGGCACTAAATTACCCATGCAAGATTTTCGCTTTTAGCTGGGTGTGGTGGCGCACGCCTTTGATCCCAGCCTGCAGGGAGGCAGAGGCAGGAGGATCCATGTGAGTTTGAGGCCAGCCTGGTCTACAACATAAGTTCAGGACAGCCAAGCCTACACACAGAAATCCTGTCATGAAAAACAAAACAATTTTTTTCTTTTTAATTTTTTATTATAACATGTAACATCAAGAAAAGTTGGTGAAATTTTATACATTTGCATCTAACACTCAAAAGCTGGTTTCTAATTGTATTCTTCAATAAAAAGGAACAAATTCCTTTAGGTATATGGCTGACTCTAAGATTGAAGCAGGCAGTGATGAGACTGGAGTCTCTTACAGTGCCACAAAGTCAGAAATGCTCAAAAGCAAAGCAGCAAATCATCAAAGCAAACTGATATGAGTCTGTGAAAGAAGCACATGTTGAAAGAGCTCCTAGTGGCCAAAGCAACAAAATAAAAACAGTAATATTAAATTACAACTCACTCAGAGAATTAGCTATATATCTGTAAGTCACATAATATCCACAGCAAGGAACTGGCATGTAAAAGCAATAAGAAGGCAAACAAATGGGGAGAAGAGATAAATCTCCTGTACAAAAGAATTCCGAAAACGTAACATATAGCTTCTCTATTCCCTAGGAGGTAGAATATAACACTCCTCTCCTTCAGTGTTATCTAGACATAGTGACTTGCTTCCAACTAGTATATACTGAAAGGAACTTAAATAAACAAATAATACATGTGGGCATGAAAAACTATTATCTTAGTCATGTATAAGGTCCGTTTCAGTGGGTTGTCATGTTGGAAATATGTGCAGTTTATAAAGTGTAATATGAATGGTACTTTACCCCACCCAACCACATAATCTTGATCTAATATTGAGAAAAATACCTAACTATAGAACCTTCTACAAAATACCTAGTTGTGCTTCTCGAAACTGTCAAGATCATTAAAAGCATGCCTATGGTCAGAGAAGTATAAATAAATTATACTATGATATTTAACATTTTATATGAATTCATATTATTTGAATTCATAGCAGGATGGAAAAAAAAACTGTCTATTATGTGTGAAGAGAAGGCTTTGTGTTGTTCCCCTTCTGATTATAAGACAAAGCAAATTTGTACCTTTTCCCATCAGGTTTATAATTGGAGATTTGCTGGATTCAGAAAATGACATCTTTGAAAAGTCCAAAGAATGCGACCCTCATGGGTCAGAGGAGTCACAGAAAGCCTTTGACCATGGGACAGAGCTCATCCCATGGTATGTGCTGTCCATCCGAGCTGACGTGCACCAGTTCCTTTTGCAGGGGGCCACTGTCATCCACTATGACCAGGACACACATCTCTCAGCCCGCTGCTTTCTCCAGTTGCAGCCTGACAATAGCACCCTGACCTGGATGAAGCCTCCCACTGCCTCCCCCGCTGGTACCAGACCCAAGCTTGGGATGCTTAGTAACATGGCTGAGCCTGGCAAGCTCCCATCACTGGGCAACGCTGGGCTGAGTGGCCTGTCGGAGGGAATCCTGGACCTGTTTTCAGTGAAGGCTGTGTACATGGGACACCCTGGCATTGATATACACTCGGTGTGTGTCCAGAACAAACTGGGTAGCATGCTTCTGTCAGAGACTGGCGTGACACTGCTCTATGGGCTTCAGACCACTGACAATAGGTTATTGCACTTTGTGGCACCAAAGCACACAGCTAAAATGCTTTTCAGTGGATTGCTGGAACTCACTACAGCTGTGAGAAAGATAAGGAAGTTCCCTGACCAAAGACAGCAGTGGCTTCGGAAACAGTACATCAGCCTCTATCAGGTAAGGGATGTGTCCAGCCCTCTCCCTTGGGTAGCGTAATCCTCAGGGGCACACACGTGGCATTTAAACTACTGGGTTCCCAGCCCTGTCACTTACTCCTGTGTAAACTCAGGCAGCTTTGCTTAACCTCCCTCTCTAAAAACTGGAAATTTTCTGAACTTGCATATAGGGTGACTGAGCTCGCAGTGTGTAAAGACAACATGTAAATTGATATGTGAGTCTGCTCATGGCAGATCTCTTATTATTTTGTATGAAAACGGTTACTGGTCATTGAAGTTCTCCCATCTAGAAAAGAAACCAGCCAATACAGTCATTTCACCAACTGAAGGTTTCAGCTGAAAACACCATAAGTGTTATAGAAGTGACACATACCTATAATCTTGGAGGATAAGGAAGGCTAAAGAGGAGTTATTTAATTAATTTTTCCAACCTAGCTTCTCGCTAAGAGTATAACCTGGGGGATTTTTAGTTAATCAGGTTGAGGTCTATGCCCCAATGCTGGGAAAGGAGGAAGGTCACAAAACAGCAGGAGGTCGAAGAAGCTTTTGAAGGCTTTGTTCAACTAGGCCGCCCACACAGTCCCACACATTCATTGTTTTTCTCATCACAGTGACAAAATGCAGGGAACCAGTGACTTCAGGATGAAAGGGTTTGCTTTAGCTCACAATTTGAGGAGACAGCCCATCAGCAGGGAGCCCACAGCAAGGGGAGCCTAAGGCAGCATCTGCAGTCAGAGAAAGGGATGAATGCTCAGGTTCACTTTCTCCTTTGTCAGCAGTCCAGGACCCCAGCCCATGTGCTGCCCACACTTAGAAAGGCTCCTAACTTCTCAGTCCTGAAACTCCCTCATAGATATGCCCAGAGGGGTTTTTTCTTCCAACTAGTTCTTCATGCTCAAAGCTGCTGGTGGAACATACAGAAAGCAGGTATTTTTATTTCCATTTTAGATGAACTAACTAGACCTGGCTTTTGTAATACAAAACATTAGAATATTAATTAAGTGACTTACACATATTAACACAATGCTCTGCCATGCACTAGTGCCAAAAAAAAATTAATTTCTAAGTTAATTTTTTTTAGAACATCTGTGAGGTTTTACCCAAAATTCTGTTGACAGCCCTTTAAGAACATTACTTTATCCCAGCTTTGAAAAAGTGTACATAGAAAGTAAAAATATTTTTTCAATTTCAAAGGGAAAAATATACTATAATGAAAGCCAGGAAATGATGCAATGATGTTAATGTGGAAAGTGGAAGTGACATGGACGTTTTAGCTTTGGCTTACATTGTCAGGGACAAAGCTAGGGGCCCACAGTCCTGAGTATTTAAGTGGAGTTCAGGGAAACTGGGAAGCTTAAATATAGAACTATCCAGTGTCTTGGTTGTAAGCAACAGACACAAATTCTATAGGAAGAGGAAAAATATTTAACCAAAGGGTATGGATTAGTTTCCTGCTCTTCATATAAAAGAGATGTCAACATCTTAAAGCACATGGACTTTTTAAAAGATTTTTATTTTATTTGTTTTTATTTTTCCCAGACACAGGGTTTCTCTGTGTAGCCCTGGCTGTCTTGGAATTTGCTCTGTAGACCAGGCTGGCCTCAAACCCAGAGTTGCACCTGCCTCTGCCTCCCAGATGCTAGGATTAAAGGCACTTGCCACCATCGCCTGGGTTTTGTTTTATTTTCACTTTTTAATCAGTTACGCTTCACTGTGTGTCTGTATGTGGGCGGTGCATGTGCAGGTGCCAGTCAAGCCAAAGGCACTGGACTCCCAAACCTGGAGTTACAGGCAGTTGGAGTCACCGTGTCAGTGCTGGGAACCAAACTCTTGTCCTCAAGAAGAGCAGTCAGTGCTTTTAACCACTGAGCCATCTCTCCAGCCCATGTGGATTATTTTTAAATGAATCCTAGCCATCAACTTCTATGCAGTTTGCAAAAACTAAAACTGTATATTCACACATAAACATCCTCCATTCACAGTTTTTAAGAAAGAAAAGAATGTCCTTTACCCATCGGAAAGATATTTATTGTTCTGTGTAAAATGATTCACACTGTATTTTAGTTTCCAGAAACCCCTCTTGAGAGGTTAAACAAAAGTATTTTCTTCTGACCTATGTTTTTAAACTTTTTTTGAGATTATAATTTAGTTACAGCATTTATCCCTTCTCTTTCCACCCTCCAAAGTCTCATATACCCCTCCCAACTCTTCCTTCAATTTCATGACCTCTTTTATTTTTTTAATAATTGTTATTATATACATATGTATATACATATATATTCCAAAAAATAAAAATAAAACTTCTTTCAGCTTTAGACATTCTTCAACGTAGTAGGTTAAGTTTATTTGTTGATTTATGTTAGGTGATATCTATTCATTTTAGAGTATCTAGAATAGCTCATTAGCTCGTCCTATCTTCTGGAGGCCTGTGTCAGGTGCAGTGGTCACCATCATGTTCATTTCTCACACCCAATACTTCTGTTCCTGGGAACAGTGGCATGTGCCTGCTTATAGACTCAGCTATTCAGGAGACTGAGGTGACAGAATCGTTGGTTGGAAGTTAGCCTTGGCAATAGCAGCACTTTGAAATAAAAGCCCTCAGGGAGGAAGATTCTGGTTGATTCATCTGGCTCATGCATCAATCACTGGTTAAGGGAGCAGGTTCCACTTTGATTGACAGATCCACAAATATCTATTGGAAAATTGATAAAATAAAAGTTTAAGAAGTAAGAAATAGACATAAAGGTGACAGACGTAAGTCACATTACAGGAGGTCACCTAAAGATTTCTGTGTCAGGTGTTCATTACTCTATACCCCGGGACCACAACAGGGTGAGAAAGGTGGAGTTCATAGATTGATTCATAAAAGCAGATAACCATTCACCATTAGGGTAAAAAAACAAACATGTACACACAGAGCATTCTTTACTATGAGCATAGTATTTACAATGAATCAATCTATTTGCAGTGCCTAGAAAGATTCCTCAGTGACTACAGCACTTGTTGCTCTTGAGAGGACCCAAGTTCAGTTCCTAGAATCTACGTTAGGAGGCTCACAGCTGCCTACAACTTCAGCTCCAGGGGCTCTAACAGTGATCCCTCTTCCATCTTCTGGGGCAATGGCACACATGTGCAGACACACACACACACAATATATATATATATATATATATATATATACATGTGCCTGCTTATAGACTCAGCTATTCAGGAGACTGAGGTGACAGAATCGTTGGTTGGAAGTTAGTGTGTATATATATATATATATATATATATATATATATATATATATACTATATATATAAAAATACTATATATATATAGTATTTTTTTAATTATATATATAATTAAAATGATTATATATACATTATATGATATGTATTATATGTCATACATTATATATTACATATTATATATGTATATATAATCATTTTTAAATCTGTTTACAAATACTTAGTTGGAAGTGTAAAGGAGGGCTACCTTAAAAGGTTACAATGCACACACATAAAAGATAGATAGATAGATAGATAGATAGATAGATAGATAGATAGATAGAT